CATACATGAATATCACCATTAATATAATAATTAACGGGCAGTCATTTTGCTCGAAATAACAAAACCTGTCATTGTGTGTAAACCAGTGAAATATAATTATACTTTATTTAATCTATTCCACAATGCTCAAACATTTTGCCGACATTAATAATTAACTAGTTAACGGAGTAGAAATTTCTATAAGTTTATATCGGTGTGCAATTGCGTCAAATACTGTTTTTGACACAGGTGGATATTTAGACAAAGCAGTCAGTGGTCATAATTTGTCTGAATTGTGCGATGTGTATTTGCGCAACACATTCCGTACAATCTGATCACACACGGACTTGTCATAGGAATAAATATGGAATTAACAAAGAGATAAGAGGTGAGAAAATAAATTTAGATCAAGTTAAAAGGACATATTGAGATCACTAAGCCGAATAGGAGAGGTAATAGTACATATGCCCTGACTGATATCGAAACAAAAATTACCTAGGATGTTTAGTGTGATGACGAATTGCTCTTGAACGTATAAAGGTGGTGTAAATGTTTTAATTGCTAGGGCTTCCACAGACTTTTGGATACGCCCCAAATACGTTCTATAGATAGGTTTAAAAGACGTGTAAATATCAATTTTATGTTCTGTCTCTATAATCATGTTTCGCAATAGAGGAGCTAGGTCTCCTGTTCTCACTAGTGAGGGGTTTTGGGGATTCTGTTTGCTTCTGTAGCCTTTTAGGAATGTGCTCTGAAGCCCTTACTTGCAGAGATCGATGAGTCCTTCCCAAGTGGATATAGCACCTGCTTCTAAACCTTACGTCCATAGCTTTAATAAATGTCGGACATTGCGTTTACAAGATTCTAAGAGAATTCTGCAAACTGTCGCTGTATGAATGCGAATAACGCAACTTCAGGATAATAGCAAAAAGCAGGAAGTCTATGAAGGTAAATCAAATAGTAGGGCGAAATGGTACACACATTAGACGTCTTTACGTCCTTTAAGTTATTCAAATTCAGCGAAGCACTTGAATATGTTTTCTTGTGCATTGAACTCAATTAAAATTTTTGGTAGAAGATAACGGATGCTGCAAGTGTTCGAAGAACATAATATAATTTGTGGCCAAAATGAACATTAATTTTTCCTTGTATCTATGAATTCAATTGACTTTTAGCAATCAAAACACTATATCAAATTGCAGAAGCACGAATTCAATATCAGCCATATACTGAGTTTCCTACAACAGAAATGGGTACTGCACAACAGCTGATCGAAGGATTTGCAACCAAGTACAGGTTGCCAGCAAGCTGCAAAGAAATTTTCTGAAAGCCAGCCATCGAAATATACGCGAAGCATAATCGGTGTATCAAATGATCATCGCATGCACCATATATTTAAGCGTCCCGTTGCACAAACAATACGTCAATTCTCAGGGGCAATATCAAACAACAATCCTCTCACAAGCTCACCCAAAAAGATCCAAATAAGCACCCAAATTACGTCAGCTGCATATGTCTGGACAGCTAGCCCCAACTCAAATCAACTAAACGGGCAAATGCCGAAAAGGTGGAGCAGGTGGCGCCACTTCAAATAGGAATATACCATATGATCGGACTTAAAGGATAATCTCGATGTCCTGAAAGCAGTGAAGCCAACTGACCAACATGAACGCTTTTGTTTGTTTTGCATGACAATAGTGCTGATAAATTTGGCCATGCAGTTCTATAGACAGATGCATAGCCACTAGGTGGGAAACATTGTAATTGGACTTCGAACGTGAGTAGTGTCTCAGAAATCGACTTTCTTACCAAATTACCCACAAACTGCGCGTATTATGGTAGGCGACTTATTGTATTTTTTTCTATAGCGGAATAAAGGGCACTTGAAAAGAGAGACCTAGTTGAACACATGGGGAGTTCACTTTTAAATAGATACAGAAAGCCTTGCGGATCATAAGGAAGTCATAATTCCAACTTGGTTACTCGTCCCTTCCTTATAAACTCACCAGTCATTGTAAAATTGAGCGTGACGTTTCCTAGTGAAATGATATATCTGGTTGTGATAGGGGAAATTCAAATCAACAGGTATCACAACCACCGAATATTGATTCAGTAACATCCGTAATCCAATGTCTTTCGATAAAAGTACAGTGTGAAGTAAAACAAACTAACTATATGGTGAACGTACATACGACCGAGGTCATTAGTACGGTTTACATAGTGTGGAAGCCGAAAATAAATTAGTGTGATGGATTAATGAAATCCTAACAGTGATTTAATCATGCGTTCGGAGAGATTTTGTGTTAAATGAAGTGTTATGCTCCACGTAAAATTACAAGAGTTCCAACACGTTATTACAGTGAGCCATGGAGTCGCTGTTTGAGGAAGACTCGTCACCTAGGCAAAGTTTATCGCCTCCTGTTACTTCACATCATATACAACCTGTAAGGAAAAGATTTTATTAAAAACAGTGATAGAAGTGTGAGTACAGGAATTAACGACAAGAAACTGTTTCATTCGATAAACCTTGCAGGAGAGATTTATACAAGGACTGAAGAACCTTGCGCACTAACATTTATATGATAAATGGACAGATATCCAGGTTATTCAACATCGCGGCCCAAATAACTGTGGACTGGTCTGTCCCTTCGTAAGCACAGATTTCATATTATTCATCCTCCTCTTTTTAGTTCACGCTTTGAATGAAGAAATCGATTGAGGATTATTAATTATTGAGAGCTGCCGTAGTCTCATATATTTTTAAGGTTCATTATGTATACATCCTTTCATACAAAACATATGCAGATTTTGAAATAGTATTAGAATTACAGTGTTACGGCTAATGTTTTCACCTTTAAACACTAGGGTTGTACTTTGTGTATCATTTTGCATTTTGTGTTAATTAGACTGTCTGTACCTCGCTGGACCCTTGTACATTTCTTGTTTGAACTGAAAATTTTTAATTGCGGACTAATTTGCGATTCGACTCTGACACTCTTTGTGTTTTGATGCCGCATGACTTCGTATTTGAAGGTTTTTACCTTGTTTTTCTGATACGTTTCATTTATTAGAACAATAATCTTTCTGATTTCCAACATTGTCATTAGTTTAATTCTGCTTGGAGCCATTTGTTTTTGTTTCGTATTTCGTCGAGATTCCCTGAATTATCTGAGGTAATATTTGAATCTATATTCCTTTTAAAAGTGACTCATCGATTTTAAAATTAGCAAGCAGCAGTTTCGTCTAGCTGAGCGTTCGGGTGGGGTCGAGGTGGCCAGTATGAACACCTGTGAGTCTTCATGTAACCTCTTATGTTCATAGGTGCGAAACCCCTAATAAGAACGGAGTTAAGATGGCCGTATACACTTAGATAAGGGTCTTCCTCAAAATCTTAGCTGTTTTCAGCAACATTTTAAAGAAGACTCTCAACCGTGGAGTTAGACCGAGTTTCCTGTGAGTGAATCCGCTGCAGAGCAACGTAGGTGTGCTATGCCGACAGTATATGTAACCCAAAGTTGGAAGGCTGAAGTGTAACTGTTTAAATAGGATAATATACTCTAATTATAAATTGACTCAAACTCATTACCATTGCGAAGACAAGCAACCTGTAGTTCGAAAATCATGAAGAATAAAGTTAATGACCAAATGAAAATATGATAAAAAAGAACTGCTGGATATATTAAGCAGCCGACACCAGGTCTCACCGGTTGTAACGTATTAATTAATTTGTTAACACGTTGCACTCTAACAGCTTAACTAGATGCAACACGCCTGGTGGCATACTTAACCTGTAACAATTGATTGCAAAACAAGAATCAAACGAACTCAAATATTCGAGCAGTATAATCATACAAGCGAACGCCAGAGTTGTTGGGGGATCAGGGTCATATAAATTATCTGAAAAGTATGGCTGAACAAGATATTCCCTATATGACCGCGTTTGTCAGCCAAATGAATGGCGAAATGTGGAGTCACAGCCTTGCCGGATGCCTACTAGCTGAAACGACTGTTGGAACAGTTCTATGCTTCCGAAGGTGAGCTGGAAATTTGTTTTGTCACTTAGGGCTTCTCTCTTTATTTTGAGGCCTAGAAGCACTTTGGCAGTAGGAAGATGCACTTGAGTCTTACCCCTACAGTCAATCTGTTAATTTTACTAAATTCCGTGTGTCATACAAGCTCTTAGCTAGTAGTCTGATCTGTGGACTTTTTGGTAACCTTAATATTTTTCACGAGATCCGTATCTTGTCATAGAGTTCCACGACAGAGATCTGCACACTGGACACTTTCAAATTCCAATTAGGTATAACTAGAAACTAAAACATTGCGAATGTGCAAGCACAGTTTGTTATAGAATGTTGTTCTATATCAATTATATATATATATATTCACCGGAAGTTCAGTGAACATATTTCGTGAGTTTGGGCTTCGAATAACATGCCTTCTCGCAGTTGCTGACCACATCTGACGAAATACCGGCGTACTGGTCAGAAGTAGTGAGATAGTGAACAGTTATCTTGATATGTGCTTCGTGCAGCATTGGACTGAATAACCAGATCTCCTAGAAGTATTTGTGTAGTTTGCAAAAGTTACAGATTTTCTCAGTTATTTGAAAGCGTAGCAAGTTTTATTCGGGAGATTACTATTCTCTCAACTGAAAGTGGGTAGCACACCTAAGCAGAGGGCACGACAAACGTCAAAAATTACATGGTTGCCTACCCACAATAATTCTTTTAAACTATCCTTGTATTAATACACTTTTGTGTATAAGTGCAGGAAATATTATGTTTTATTTATAACTAAGAGTTAGAGGCATATTTTCGTCCACTTTTTGGAATAGGAAAACAGATATTGAAACATTTTTGCTGTTTTTGTTTTAATGCTTGTGGGTGGTTTGCGATACTAATCCTACTGTTATCGCGTGTATTGATATTATCTGCGTGATGTCTTACAATCACGATGGGAATAATGTAGTAGACCAAGTAAGTATGCGCTTGTGACTACGTTTTTCACGAAACAACGCCTATACATATGGTAGTACCACTTGAAGTGATGCAGATTGAGATTATAAGGATAGAAGGCTCTTGCTGCCTATGTTAATCCTTGCGATATATATATCTCTTCAGAGATCCAGTATCTCTGTAAAAGCGCTCACCAATGGCACTGTTTCTACTGAATCAGGTAAGGAGATCCAGTCGTTGACCACTCTGTGGGAGAATCTAAATTCCACACGTATTTCTATTCGACCTCGGTCTGAGCACCTTCTTGTGGTGACCTCGTAAATGTATCCCAGAGGGAGAGAAAAAGTTCGAAAGGTCAATCCTTAAATCACCTTTTAATATACGGTAAGCCAAAATTAATTTGCCTCTCTTCCTTGGACATGATAATGGGAAGAGGTTTAAATGCCCCACCCTTTTGTCATAAGGAAGGTGTGAGATACCACCAGCTCATCTGGTTTCTGCCCTTTGTACTCTTTCCACAATATGTGCCTCCTTTTAGAGGCGTAGGCCCGGCGCTTGTATGCAGTATTCTAGTTGAGGTCTGACATATGTTGCTCAGAGTACTTGGAACATACCCTCGTCTAGTCGTTTGAAAGCCCTCTGAAGTACCCATAGCTTTCAAAAAGCCTTAGCTGCAGCTCGATTACAACTTACCGTTGTTTTCAAGTCATAGCTTACAATAATCCTTATGTCCTTTTGTCCCTTAAGACCTGGCAGTTCTGTATCTCCTAGGGAGTACAACGAGTAAGACTACTGACCTATGTGGATTGCCGCCCTTTTCTTGGAATAATGAAGGCTAGGAAATATTCCTGGTACTGGTTGATGTGATTTCCTTTGTGTATGTAAATGTAATGAGTGGCTAGGTTTAACTGCTACCTTTTTGCGCCAAAGTTTGACAGGAACATAGTTCGAACTATATTTCGAATAAATCTATCCGACATGGCTTTTCAGGTGTTGTGCGTTTGAGGAGCTCCCAATACTTCTAAATAGATGACAGTGATCAAATGATTCTTCTTAGTGGGTAATTTAAGGATTCCATTCTGTTTTTGATTGCATTGCAGTCGTCAATTTTCTGCTCAAAGCATTGTGTACTGGGTCTTTCAGCTTTGGGATAAAATCTTATGTCAGTCTAGTTCGATTCACACAGTAAAGAATAATAGGTTCTTATGGCCTATATTGGTCCTTGCAATACATGTCTCTGCAAAGATTTAATTTCCCTTTGAAAGCGTTCAGCGATGGTGTGTTGACGAGTTGATCGCGTTGACCATTTTATGTAACAATCTAAATTTCACACATTTTGTTGGCCCGCGATTTGAGCAGCACTTTGGTGACCTTTCAAAAGTAACTCATAGAGGAAACGTCAACCTCCAAATTACCCTTTAATGTGCTTTATGCCAGGACTCACCTCTCCTTTCGTTATGATAATGGGGACACATGAGAAGGTTGGGAAATACCACTGACTAATTTATTTTTCCATGCCTTTACTCCAAGGTGTGTGCCTCCTTGACGCAATGAATGTGTGCAGTATCCCAGGTGAAGCCTAACATTTGGGTATTCTGAGTATGGACTGGTATGAGCGTTCGGGAGTCCTCCGTATCTCCCGAAGCATTCGGAAAGCCATAACGACAGTCTTCTCATTATATGTCGTTCTCAAATTATCCCTGACAATAATTCCTAAGTCCTTTCGTTTGTTAAATTCAGGCAGTTGTGTCCTTCAGAAAGTACTACACGAAGACCTCTGATCTAAATGCATTTCCGCACTTGTGTGGGAAATTATTTACCGGAATCCAAAGGTTGTACCTTTCAGTTATTTTGTCTAGATCAGCTTTCAAGACTGACCTATCGTCATAATTATTTATAGTTCTCCAGGACTTCTCATCATCCTTAAATAATAATGAAGACTTAATCATTTTCGTCAGTTCTTCCAAGCATAGTAGGAATAACAAGGGACCCGGAAAAGTACCGTGTGATACTCCCTTTGGTACTGGTTTCCAACCCTACATTACACCATCAACCTTTGCCTTCTGCCCAGTAGTTTGTCCCTAAACCACTCACAGCAATGGTCTAATCTAACATCTTTTAGTTTACTGAGATCTGAGTGGTACACTTTATCCAAGACATTACAGTCGGAAAAAAGCAATATCCGGCGGTAGGTTTTCATGGCCCCCTTCTACCCAACTTCCTTAGCTAGCAGTAAGTTTGCTTGGCAGGATCATCCTGGTCGTAATCCATACTGTTCTTCTGCTAGTATAAAGATCGCCAGTATTCTTTGGTAATATGCGACTTTTGATTGGTCGGCGTGATTCAAAATTAATGGGTAATTTCAACCATCTTTGTTTCTAACCAGCTTTCTCTGTTACATGACGTAGCATATAGCCTCATGAATTGGTCATAAAGATTTTCGAATAGGCATTCGATGTTAATTTGCTTTACTTTCCCCCGGGGAACACGGAGCTTGAAACCCATTGACAATTTCTTCTTGTCCTTTTGACAGGAAAAATAAATTATCATCACAATTAGATATATGCATTGGAAAAATGTCATTTTGGTGGTTCCGGATAAAGTGACTTCTTTATTTTCTTCCGCTTCATGAGTCTTTTTCGAAGTAGAATGCAGTTATTTTATGGATTTTAGATAACATACAAAGATTAAGTCATTTTGTACAGTGAGCGGTTTACTTGATGATACACAAATTACTTATTTCATCTGTTTCAGAGCACAAATATGATTCAGCGAAATGATAAAGATTTGGCCGTGTAGATCTCAAATGATCTTGCCGGCATATCTCTTATGATTGTTCCTAACGCCTTGGCTTTGATACTCGGCAAACTTAAAGGCTGGTAGTTAGATACCAGTTGCTTATTATTCGCCCAGAAGATGGAGCTTGAAACTGCAGTCTTCCAGTTCATAGGTAGCCCTTACTGTACCAGGAACATTTTAGAAAAATCTTAAGTGGTTAGTATATTATAACCTGTAAGGAGGCTCACTCTAGGTTGGGAGCTGTCTCCAGCGGCTAAGATGAGAATGTGATAACCCATGAAATAGAGACACATTATTTATTCTCCCTTTCAGTTTCAATACTTACACTATCGACATGAAATGTTCTGATATATACATGTCTTCCAGCTGTAATCCTTATTCCGGGTAGTGTTTAATAACCTTGGAACGACTTGAATGTGTCTTTACCTATTTGGTCAACTAATTAAATCGCATCTCTAAATTCAGTTATTTTTTTTTCTTATGTTAACGTGGAACATAATGTTTAAATTTCGTTCACACTTCGTTAGAAATGGTAATCCTCTTGACAGCTGCCTCAACTTTTCATCCTAGTCCGTTTTTCTTGGATGGTGCTCACCCTAACTGTCTTGATGGGTTATCCTTCAATCTGGCGTCGAACAATTGCCATGTTTATTGACCTTAAGGTGGAATTCGACTCCGTCGACCGAGAGGTACTGTGACTGCTTTGCAGTGCGGTGCCGAGAAAGTACATCACACTAATCAAGGGACTCTGCTCGAATTGACTAGTCGTATAAGAGCCAATGGAGAGCTGTCATCTGAAGTAATAACCAGTGGTGTCTCGCAGGCATACACACCGTCCTCATTTCTGTTTAATTTCACCAAAGATGTACTAATCATATTAAGCAACTGACTTTCGTGACTTATGGATTGATTTCTTACTAGGGACTAGTCTTGTCGACATAGTGTATGGATATTGTTCTCCTACGTAAAGACGGTGGTGGAATGCAGTAGTCTGAACACGTTGAGCAACAATGTTCATATGTTTGCCATCTGATTTTCTGTTTTCAAATATGAGATGGTGGTGAAGGACTCAACTGGACCGACTCCTAGCTTAAAAGTAGGGAGCGGATTGATATAGTGTGTCGACCACTTCACTTATTTGGAAAGATGCATCAGCCCCAATGAACTGATTGCTAACAAAGGTTCTGGAGGCTTTTATCGACTTACGTTACCTCTGGCGTAGACGTGAAATTCAGCTACCAATCAGAGGTTTTGTCTATTGCTCAGCAGTTGCCTTTGTCCTCCCATGTGCTTGTGGGATATAGTCATTGGAAGGGAAAGATGAGAAAGGCTTAGCTTTGATCATAAGTATCTGCGTTCTATCTTCCGTGTTAGTTATTTTGATAGAGTCAGTAATATTGAGCTAACCGTCGAGTGTTAGGTTAGGGGTATAAATTAGTCGAGGATGTTGTGAAGCTACATCGAATGAGGTGATTAGAACATGTGCAACTCATTCTGAGCGATCGCCTTCCTCACCAGGAAATGTTAGCCGAGATAGGGTTAGGTTAGAAAAGAGTCGGGGAGGATCAGACCAAAACCTGGGATCAGTCCACGAAGAGTTTGACAGGTTTTGAGCGACGTAGGGAGGTGCAGGCTGCCTGCTTGGCCCCCTCGAGATGTTAAGAACCAATGACTGGATACCATTGGTGATGTTGCTCAAAATTGTTCACAATAGCGCAGGCGCATTCACTTTATATGACCTCCCACATGCAGACCTCCCATCATTTTTTTCCACTTAGCAATTTTCTCCTAATTTAGTCCTTTCGAATCCTTTCTCTTCATTTCTACCTATATGTGCTACATGGAATATGGCATTCGAATTGTTGCATTTCTGTTCTTCAGTACCGAGTGAACTCGCCGCATTTCGAAAAAGCACTAACTTTAAAAAAGCTTAGTTGAACTACAAAAATATCTTGATGGAAACTAATTAGATGAGGTTTTCGAGATAAGAAATTAACATCCCAGTCTATAGAGCATCATAAGGTTGTCATTTGGTTTTTTTCTCATATTGCATTACATTTAAACTTATCGTTAATGCAGTAACGTCCATTTTAGTGTGAACAAGTGAAGTCATCTTTGGTTCAAACCCTGTAATCTTTTTTTAAATCGTTAACTTCAGCAACTATATTTTCTTGTCGTAGGGAAGTTCCGTATAGAATACGCTTTTTAACAGGTAACCGCAAATCATTGTTACATCAATAGTGACGTTGGTGAGTGTAAAGTGAGCCACATTCATCCGTGCTGGGGTCTCGTCAGCAATCAATCTCGATACAGTTCTCTGGAAACAAATGAAGTGGGCAATACTTCATCATTCAATAATATATTCTTAAACTAGAGGTTGAGGAGACCTTTCTCATTTGATAAGGGCGAATCGCATGTCGAACTTAGTCGGATTTTTTCAGGAGGTTAAATTTCGCAGACGTCTTCAGGTTAAATGACTACATTTTCTTCCAATAAATTACTGAGATATTGCTACAGCACTTCACAACTGATTTTGTGTAATGGCGCTTTTAGGTCATCTGACTGTTGAATGTACTTGAATCTATCGGAATTAGTGCACCATAACTAGATCTGGAGTTTGTCTAGTTTTTATGCTTCATTCTGTTTAACTCAATTTAGTTTTTTCAGAACTGTGAAACTTATAATCTTAGATAGTTAGTAAAAGTTTCCTTTCTCACAAACTGCTATGATTGTCTATCAACCCGTTTGATCGAATTGTCTCCAACTCCCATACACTAGTTAAAATCTGCTTTAGTCTGGTCAGTTCACTACTGTTATCCGCTGGCACCTCCGCAGTCATAATAACAGATCCCGCTGCTTCTCTCCGTTTTAGATGAGGCAGCTGCGACCTTCTCTGTAGTTATAGGACTGAGTTTTACATCACACTGGGGTCGGTTGATGGGTAACTATAATACAACTCCAATATGGAGGTAGCAGTTTGGTTTTTAGTGACTAGGAACTGTGTTTCTGTAAATAAATTCACTAGCAGTTGTCCCGTAGTTGGAGTAATGAAACTCTGGGGAATAGTACCAGTGTGTTAAAAGGAAGATGATGGGGAATGATCAGAAAAATGAGTACCTGGTGGGCCAAGTTGTCATCATTATATCAAGACACCTTTAGTCACGCAAAGAAATTCTGTGAGACTAATAAATAAAAGATTCAGTGAAGATAAATAACAAGACGTCAGTGTATTCGCATCATTTTGATTCACTATGGGCTATCACTTGGTCTCTTATGGTACTATCATGTGGCTGCTTCAAATCCAGTTACACACCCGACATTCCCCAGCTTACCTCAAACTAAAAGTCTCTAAATTCATAAATTATTGCCATAGGTCTGGCCTCCATTAACTCGCAACCTAAGCGTGATAATAAAGTAGCAGTCCCGTGGAATTTAATAATTTCGAATGATTTATTTGGTCCATTTGGTCCCCTCTCTCTTCTGTGTTGTGCAAGTCAGAGATATACACAATACTTCTATTAGTTACGAGCAATGATGAATAATACTTGCTGCTTTCGCAACAGTCTTTATGAAGGACATTTCACTGCAAATTACCACTTTTTGTTTAAAGGGCAAATGAATATCTCGGTTCAGTGCGAACCAAAGCATTTCTTATTATTTGTGCTGAAATTTTGTTGACCGCAATCCGTCAGAGTTGGTTTCCCTGTCAGCGTGGATAGAATGGTCTAAGCACTAAGTCACATCGCAGTATGTTAAAATGTGTCAGTGGCGACCAATCCTGAATTGTCAGTTTACTTAAGCGAGATGATAAACATCCAAGTATTTTCGAATACTACTTTACTTTTACTTTACTTCGGCTATCTCCTACGGAAGGATGAGCCGGCTTCATGAACATCTCGAATCATCGCTGCCCAGGCGCGGCGATCTGATGAAGAGAGTTCACGAAGTTTCATGGGAATTTGGTACGAGTGATGTCCCCAGAATCGCTCGGCCTTTTGTTTGAGAGTGCAGCTCTAGCCTTTACACAACCAAGTGTGACCTACAAGGCAGTAGGAGTGGAGTAGGGAGTCCACTATCCATTGGCAGCCGGTGACCGGAGTTCGGTTCATACGCCTTTTTGAATGGGGCCAGACATCCAGGACATCCAACAAGCCCTTTGTCCATTCGTCTGCCGGTGAGCTCCAGTGAGCTTCATACGCCAGTCGTTGGAGGTTTGGAATCAGGGTTTAGCCATCTCCCCTAGACTGTCATCCAATGGACAGTCAACCCGGTGAAGAGCGCCGGGCATCCGCTTTCGCCCTCTCACTTTGGTGAAAAACACCGCCACGTGAAGGCAGTGAGTAGGACTTCCTCAGGAGAGGCTATGTAAGACGCCCGGTCATATGGGCGCATTTCAAGAGGTGTGCGGAGGGGTGGCCAACCCGCAGCGCAAGGCACCCACCCCCGACCATCCTGAGGCTTTCGAATACTCGATTTTGTAAGTGTCTTTACTCTAAGATAACTAAGGAATCTCTTGCGGTTAGTGTTAATGAAGGAAGATGTATGTCTGTTATAAGAGTGAGTAAAAATTAAGAGAACATACTCAATTCTTGGATACCACTGTAGAGTTCGATTTGATCATGAGCGTGGAGGTAGACAAGCAAATAGATGTGTTTTGATACATCCGTTTTAGTGACCGACACTGACATTGGGCACTGTTTAGAGCTTAACGAAGCTTGAATATCTTTTTGACACTCTTGTATTCATGGAGAAACAACTTACTTTCCTTGGGTCTACACTTCCGCATCTACGACGAAATCGCATCATTTTATACTCTGGGATTTTAGTAATTACATGGACCAAGCTATTTCTTCAGTTCATGAAATTAGTATATTTCACTTTTAAAGAGCTTCAATGACTAATGTTTGAAACTAATCTGCTATTGTTACTCCAACTTACATCTCAGCTTGGAGACTAATGTTTGCCCATTGTCTTCAAATGCTTTGAAATAGTCAGTAGGACTACACCACCCTCACTCATATCAGTTTTTCTGAAAATCTGTTAATCTTCACACGTCTCTGACTAACGTCGGGAACTGTTACCATCGCCTTTCACAACTGTCTTATCTAACTTTTAGGCTATCTGGCACTTCTTACGGTCATTACGTAGACTTTGTTACTATACTTCTTAACTGTTGTTATACTTCGTTTTGCGTTCGATTCCATGCTCAAATGGCAATGATCCACTCATACTGTTCTTGAGGGATAGTAATGCTGTTTGACTGCCCAAAAGTCGATAGGTGGAGCGGCGTTCAAACCTGCGACCCAACGGTTGGAAGACGAGCGCCTAGGCCAGTGAGCAACAACCTGTAACTTATATGAAGGCGTCCTCATTTATTCAGCTTTTCTGAACAAGCTGTTGAGACTCATTGTTTCTCTAAGCATTATCTGAAGATCAAAACCTTCTGCTGATGTTTTTAGAATATTTCAGGCGTTTTTTAGGATGTAACTGTCCAGTCAAGTACCTGACCACTTCCTGGATTGCTTCATCAAATCATTTGGCTGTTTCCTTGTTTACAGTATACGAAGTGACTTAGCCAAGTGCCCGGATATACACGTGATGTTGGGTTTCATGTCAGTGTTTGTTGTCTAGGGTGGAGGATGCGAGGTAGTGAATTTTAGCCACAATTGTTTTCCTAGTGTCACCTTATGGTGAAACCACATTAAAATTATAGAACTGGGTTAGCAATACTTCAGTCAACTGGGGTCGTCACAGATGTTGAGCAGTCCAAATTGGCAAACAATTCCCCAGTGTGGTAATTTTGCGTAAGGTTTTTATGTTGATTCATATTTACATTAACAAGTATCAAGAGTTGTGATTATTATTTTATGCAGTGCACCACTAATGGTCTTCGACCAACAAGCCAATTTTTTGAATTCTGCTTCATTTAATTCAGTCGGATTAACTGAACAACATCACACCTGATAATACTAATACGTTCAGTCATACGGAGTCACGGACTCATTGTTTCTGCTTTGTTTTTTATTACAGTCAGTTTGGTTGCAAGACCTAGTTGTAGCACCACGCAAGCATTCATTAACTATCTTGTTCTTTATCTTTTTTATCACCTTTTGTTCGTACATGAACTGTGAAAGCCCTGAACTAACACAGTAGGATCGCCATGTATGTCGATATTTTTGTTGATCTCTGTTATGTCCATCTGGCGAACATTTGGTTATCAGTTGACTAGGTTTAATAGTTATCTGAATGGAATCAGTAGTGAACATAATCACAAAGTTTGTCTACAGCCTGGCATTTTGTTGGTATTGTTTTACTGTCGTTGTAGACTTAATTTAAATCACTTCGGTTCAGACAACCGTAAGATTCCAAGTATAGATTGGGACTCCATAGTCCAGTACAAAAATATTTCTCCATGTGTGAAATAACATGTTTGTAGTTTCTGAAGCTTCTTCTGTGATTTTTGACAGTATATGCCTAAAAGCATCCAGACCGTAATCTAGTTGACTTCATACTGAAGGAAGACTTAGATTAGGTAGCCAACAAGAAAAGTAGTTACCACTTTTCTAGTATTTGTGCTCATCAAGCCTACATTTTGGCGTGAATGTTTTGAATTGACTGTCAAGCTATGAATAATTTGAGATTTGCAATATCTTTTTAGTTTTCGTCTATGAGTATCCACTCACAACAATCAAATGATGGTGGTTCAAAAATCTATGTACCTCCCCATTTGAGAAATCGCGGAGCATCAAACGGCGTTGTTGAATCCTCAAATGACTACAGTCAGTTTTCACGCCCTTCTCGAGGCACGACTAGTGATAATTTTCGTGGACGCTCTAGTCGTGGTTCTTATGGTAACAGAGGGTCGAAGATGGGAGGCGACTGGCAGCAATCAGACACACGATGGCAAAGCTTCAATGGAGGAGGGTATGTTGAGTTTTTGTACGAGATTTGCTTTCAGTTACCAGCCGCGGAATAGCAATTACTCCTCTGGCCCCAATATTCCTAGACGTACTTGGAGTTCACCCGGTGAGGATTGGACTCAACAGTTACCACGAAATGAGCGCACAGAGCAGGAATTGTTCAAAAATGTGAGCGCAGGCATAAACTTTGACCAATATGACAACATTCCTGTAACTGCAACGGGTCCAAATTATAATGATAGCACATCTACAATATCCTCATTTACTGAGCTTTCATTGCATAAAATAATACGTGACAATGTCGATATGGCCCATTACGAACGGCCCACGCCAGTACAAAAACATGCAATACCAATCATTGCATCAGGTCGAGATTTGATGGCCTGTGCCCAAACTGGCTCAGGAAAGACTGCAGCGTTCCTTATTCCAATTTTAAATAATATGATAAATCAGGGTCCTGGTGACTCTATATGTGCTACTGTAAGTTCTTCCTTCCAGTGACTTATTTTGGTAGATGGATAACAATCGGAGGAAGCAGTTTCCGGTGGCACTTATACTGGCTCCGACCCGGGAGTTAGCGTCACAAATTTTTGATGATGCTAGAAGATTTGCATACAGATCCAACATTAGATCATGTGTTCTATATGGTGGTGCTGATATGAGAACTCAGTTGATGGAGCTATCTAAAGGCTGCAATTTATTAGTTGCTACTCCTGGTCGATTAAGTGATGTTTTGGAGCGGGGTCGCATTGGTTTAGATTATTGTCGGTAAGTTTTAAAATAAAAAGTAATTTTTCAGGTTTCTGGTTTTGGATGAGGCTGATCGTATGCTGGACATGGGATTTGAACCACAAATTCGTCGTATTGTTGAGCAGGATGCTCTCCCACCTGCTGGTGAGAGGCAAACACTTATGTTTTCCGCAACTTTTCCCAATGAAATTCAGGTATTACCAAGTTCACATGATATTTCCCTAGGCTTTAGCTAAAGATTTCTTGCACAGCTATATTTTTTTGACGGTTGGACGCGTTGGAAGCACCAGTGAAAATATTACGCAAACTATACTTTGGATTGAGGAAAATTCTAAACGAGATGCTCTGATTGATCTACTTGCTAATTCAGGTTTTTTTTTAATTTTATTTTTATTTAATTGGTCATTTAGAAACAGGTACACTGACATTAGTTTTCGTCGAAACGAAACGTGGTGCAGATGCTCTTGAGAATTATTTGTACTCTCAGAAGTTCCAAGTGGCAAGCATACACGGAGATCGGACTCAAGAGGATAGAGAATTGGCCCTGTCTTGCTTCCGTACAGGTCGAACCCCAATACTCGTAGCAACTGCAGTTGCAGCACGTGGACTGGATATTCCAAATGTTAAGGTAATTTCCTCCTTGTTCAATTCATTTGGCGATTATAGACACTTTATTTATTACATTGTTATCAAGCCCACTGAATTACCAACTATATCGTCTCATCTTTTACCAAAGTTATTTTAAACAGTGTTGTTTCATTGCTTTACACATCCATATTTTTGTACTTTAATCTCGTACATATTCGTTATTCTCCTTTATTATTTACTATTCACTTTGTCGTTTACTAAATACAATATTTCTCACGGCATCCAACCATCAGAAAGTAGTATATTTAGTTCTTTTTTTTAGTAGTCATTTGCATTACCAACAATTCTGAATCAACTTCAATTTCTTTGAATATCAAAGTCGGATTAGGGCTTTTATTTCTAAAATGCAATACGTTTGACTGATTGATTTCAACAAAACTTTGAACAGAAGTACGGCAGTTCAAGTTGCCACATTTCAAGAGAATCATAATGAGCAGAAATGTGAGGGAGAAAGGACAGTAACATGGAAAAAGCAATATGGCTAAATGGATGTGGCAAATCACCAGTGAATGTGTCTGTGCCATTGAGAACAATTTTGAGCCATATAACCAGTTGTCTCTAGCAATTGGATCTTAACGTCCCGAGGACTCCAATCAAGCAGTCTACACTTCTCTACATGGCTCAAACTAGCTGTCAAATATTTCATGAACTGATGTCATGTTTTCGTTTGACTACCACTAACTCTTTTCTAAACTAATCCTATGTCGGCTAACATTTCCCGTCGAGAAAGGTGATGGCTAGGCATGCGTATTACGACCTAGGCATCAAAATCAGTGTAGCTTCACAACCTCATAGATTGAATTTCCCTCCTGGATTATGACTCGACATCTAACCTCATTATTACTCACCCTTTTTAACCACCTTACACGGAAGACGGAACACAGATACCTATGATCAAATATAACTAGTCTTTTCATGTCTTCCACTTTCAACGTCCATATCTGAGGGCCATGAAGAAGGATAGAGTATACTTTTGCATAGTACACACGTCCTTTGATCAATAATTGGATGTCATGCCTGGGCCAGAGATCCTGTAGTTGTTTTTTTCTTGCACTATTATCTCTTATATGTTTTGCATGATGTACATTCATATACTGCCATAGCTCACATCTCTACGTGGTAACATCGAGCTATGTTTTAATACCTTACCTTATTTGTCGCCTAATGAGTAGACGTTTCAATCTGGGTAAATGTTTTCCAAATCTAAAAAGTTTCACCATGTTTTGCTTTGTGGACAACGTTCAGGATTATAAACTGTAATCGGCAAATTTGTTTTAATTCAGATTAAATTTTGAATACACAATAGATTTTTAGAAATGAAGAACCCGAAATTTGCCAAAATAATAAAACCAAATAACTGTTAAAAGGACATGTATCAGTACATATACTTTAAAACCTTTAGGTTGTATTACAGTCTCTACAGTTAAACAAGAATAAACAGTGGGTTTCCAGACCCAATGATTATTGATATAACAGCAAGGAATATTTCATTCCTTTTTATTGACATCATTATTTTGAATTTATCATGGATTGATTTTATTGAGAATGCATGTACATCCAGCCTAAGAATCTCAGATAGGACCAAACGCGCGTCCGGAACTCAATGGCTAGCAAACAACAACTAAATAACATAAGTAGTTTTCTTAGGACTACTTGCCGACATTGGATTTCTTCTAAATATAACAACACGAATTATCTCTTCTCACGCTTCTTTTCTAGTGTTGTCACTTGTGTTGATGTTAATGTTTTTGCGTACCTCTAACTTTAATCCAGTGTGTCTGTTCGACTTGTTCTCACATTCTAATTTCGTTAAAGAAGCACTCAGAATACAGAGCTTTCCTGACAGATTTTTCGACAATTTCGACACTTCTGTTACGCACCCTGCGTGCATTATAAGACTTTTATAATATATCTTCACCTATATGTAGTTTTAAAATGAAATTTGGGTTGATTCCAAAGCATTCTTTCCTGATGTGATCTCAAGAAAGGCTAGAGAAATCGTTTTCTATCCTTGTTAGCCTGCGCGATCTCACCAATAACTGAATTATGAGCTTGTCAGTTATATACGCATTTACACTGAACTCTGCATAAGTAGTCTTTCTGGACTAATATGTAGTCTCTGAGCTTTATTCACAGAAAACATACTCATTAAATAGCATAGGGGTATCGCAAACTTTTGATTAGTAGTTTTATTGACCATCTTTGTATTGATTAAGACAGTAATCTACAGTGGATGTTTATTGTATAACAGATATTCGCCTCATTTTGTCTGCAAATTTGATAAAGACATTTTAGTGTAATGAAAGCTATATATACATATATATATTCTATGTTTATCTGCATTATTTCTTTCTTATCTTTTGATATTCAATGCAGCATGTCATTAACTACGATCTACCTTCAGATATCGAAGAGTATGTGCATCGTATTGGTCGAACTGGTCGTGTTGGGAATCTCGGACAAGCCACTTCGTTTTTTAATGATAAAAATCGTAACTTAGCTCGTGGTTTAGTTGAGTTACTTGAAGAGGCCAATCAAACCGTCCCACCATGGCTAAAGGCATTCACAAACGACGGAAGAGCAACAAGTTTTCAGCGTCCTAAGAACAATCGTCGGTTAGTTCACATTATACATTTATTTCTTTATGCTCCTACAACCTTCTAGTATTCTTGAATTAGTGCAACTATTTGAAATATCTGCTGTGTAGAACCATATATCCTTATAGTGACATATTCTGCTAGAGAACTAATTAATACTCTTTATGCTGTTGGAACAAAGCGAAGCCAAGTTATCCACTAAATCAAGATACGCGTAGTCATACTGAGTCGATGACACTATGGAAGCTTCCACGTTGGCAATTTATTCTGTCCATAATCGAAATTAAGAATAAGTATTGTATTCTTTTACGGTTGTAGCTCAGGTTTTTATTTAACTATGTACGACGTTGTGGTCTATGTTTAGTGATTTTATTTGTATCCGCCGCAATTCTGGCTACTCGGAGTTTATATGTGCTAAGAAAGTTCATCAATAAACAGATGATCAAGGAAGATTCCACAGTGCAAATACCAGAAGATTAATAAAGTCAGAAATCGTACAGTTGTCTCCAACCATTGCAAGGCACATCATCACTGTCCCACAAATTAGCGTTTTTATCTCTGAGGAACATTTAAAACAGACTTCGAACAGTTACCAGTCACGTTCTCAAGTCGATAAGGCAAGGTCGTCAGTGTTATGTTGAGTACTATATGAAATAACTTTCCTAAAGTATGAATAGCAGAGGAATATTATCGGCTTTCAGCAGCAGTCAAACATTTCTGACATAATTCTCCATACGATTGTCGTGCGTAATCTGCAATCCATGAAATTTAACTACCGAAGTCTACACTTTCATAACAATTGACTTTTATGGAAGATATCTAACTTGTCATAATCGAGTTGCATGGCTGCAGGTTCCATTACTATGAAAACAATAATAAAGCCTAAAAGTTTGATTATGACTCATGAGTTACTGAATTTTAACATTGATGTGTGTGGCTGAGTTAAGTGCCTATAGCCCTAACAATGGTACCGTAGCACATGGGTAGTCTAAGCTGCTGTTTAAAATGTGTTACAAGATAAAAAGGGTGCATTCAGTGGGGTGAGCATGACATCTTCTCTACATCTTAATTTCCCTCTAGTGTGAACCGATACGTTTTTAAGCTTGCCTTATACTATTTCCTTGTTGAATCTTAAAATAATAGGGAGGATCTATATCTACGATAGATAACAGCAAAAATCATGTGACAGTTTTGAAAGTTGTTTAGCAAGTAGTCTGCATATCATTTTTCCTGGTGGAGGATTCAGATCGTCTGAAAATCATTAATTGGAGTTCATTCGTTTTTAGTGAATCACTTCACTTTGTAATTGTTTGTGGTATGAGATGAGCGATTTTCCTGCCAAAATCTGCAGAACATTTAATGTTGTTTACTGTATATGATAATTATTTGTCTTTCTTTTCAGGGGTGGTTTCGGGGCTCGCGATTATCGACAAGTTCCATCTCGTGGTGGTGGTAATGGTTCTAATCGTCCTTCAGTGACATCTTCCAGAGAGTATGGAATGCTGAGAGACGGTGGCTACTATGATTCTCAACCTAATACAATGTCCCAAAGTTCTGCAGACTGGTGGGGAAACTAACTGTCGTAGTCGTGATGGACACGCTGTGGGCGATAATTCTGTCGTTTTTATAATTGGATTCTTTTTTTTGACAATTTTTACATGAGCGGAAACTTGCTCTCATAGCTTACTTTGAATTTCACGCCACTGAATACCTGCAGTTATTGTTTTTCTTCTTGAACCCAGTTACTACGGTTCATTGCAGTTAGCAGCTCTAACTATGTGCACTTATGTGGACATAATAGCGGCAGCCATTCCCTACAAATATCACTTTTGAATTGCTGCCCCTTATTTTTCCTAAATCTGCATTTATTTCTGTTGAGGTGTGATTTTCCCAGAGATCTAAGACAAGTTCAACCGCTTTTTGGTATTTACATTAAGCTTGTATTGATTAAAAATATCAGATTCTGAAGTAATTTCTTCATACAAAGCTACTTGGGGTAACGTGCCACAAACAAGGGTACAGGAAATTTCCCTTGACATCCTTTGTAAGTCATGCACCTGATTTTTCCGTAAACAGGTCTTTCTGCCCAACCTTGATCATGTATACCACATATCGACCACATGACACCGACGAATCCATTGGGATCAGACCCATCTAGTGCGAAATGATCGTTAAGGTATAATGCCAATTTTAGGGCAGCTGATGGACCACCTTCATGCCATTCCAGGATTTTCTTGGCCCAATACATTCGCAAAAAGCCATGAAGTTTCCCGGTACGTACTAGTTGTCGTTGAGCTGCGTTCCACAAGTCGTCCTTAGTTTCAGCTCCAACCATTGTTTCTCTACTGTATGAAGGATTACGCCTATCATTCGCGTGTTGAGATAGCGTATCTTGTGCCCACTTCCATGCTCCTATTCATAAAAGATCAATTAAACAAACTTTAGAATTTGATAACATAAATGCAAGACTAAGTAAAATGGAAATGATTACGGTAGATAGCATGAAAACACACAATACCTACAATCGTGGCGTAGCAAAGATGATGTGCATTCCGCTCGTATTCATAGTTAACGAACGGGTCCGGGAGCGTATGACACGTCTTAGCTCTTATGTTGAGACATATTCATAACTGACTCAATCAGTAGGAAATTTAAAAGCTATCTCTTGTACTGAAGAATAACTGCGACTGTTCAGTATATATAAGGTAGAAAAGATGTTTAGTTTAAACTAATGTTCACGTAACAATTCTCTAAAGTAATAATGGGTTTAGGAAGCTAGAAAGTAAGCTGACACGTTGCGTAAGCAGAATGAATGTGTTAACTATAAATTGTTCCCAGGAACAGTAGTAGGTTGTTTGAACTTCGTCAGCATCATCTACTTTTCTGCCTATCACCCCACGCTCCAACAAAAAATAAGGCTGGTTAATTGGAACCAGTAACTAGGACTAGTTAGTTTTTGCACGCGGTTGCAAAATATAAACTTAAACGGGTGGGTAAGCTTGGTCCGCGTTATTTTTGATGGTGTTGGTTATTCGCCGATTTGATTTACATGAAAAGTACGATTTTTGTAATAAACAAGGTTATTTAGTAACTATTCGTTTGGTGTAGTTTGTTTGTGAACAATTTTCAAAATCTTAACGATAAGACAGACCTGTAGAAAGTATGAAGTTAGCCAACTAAGAAGAGCTTGAGCACTTACCTTCAAGTGAGTCGTATTTCGGATTGTAGTAGCAGAAATTATCCGATAGTTCTCTTCGTATAAAGGCTTCCTCTACGAAGGAATCCACTGAATTTTTATGCTTATCACGCATAAGCTTGACTTCTAAGAGCGCTCGTTGCGGTGCAATTTGACCTGAAGTATCAATATGAAAAAGGTTGTGCAAAAATGTCAAATTTTAAAACACTTTTGGTATTATTAGAAGTAATCATGTGATAACAAAATTCTCCTAGCATTTTCAGAAAATCTGAGACATTAGAATCTTAAAACTATAGATTTATATGCATTGATAGCGATTGTTGGCTGTTAGAACAAGTAACTATCTGACGTTGGTGAAGCACTGATGTATAATGCTAATTTCTTGTTTGAGAGCTAATTATGAGAATTCAGCGTATTAGGAATCAGAACTAAGTTATGTTGAGTTATGCATTTTATCCCTAACGGTTAATGGACACATGCTATGCGTGTATTCGATATCTAAACTGGGCTACTTAATTTAACCAGAAAGGGATAAATCAAATGCACAAGAAGTTCGATTCTGTCACACTTTTTGGATTGGATACAGGATTTCGTATCGACGCTAACTTAGCCTTCAGGGTCATATACCATGTTCTGAAGTCATTGTCAAGTACACTTCACCTACGTCTTCTACATACAGCTGAAACTGTTGCGATAAGATCTTTTCTGAACCAAGATGGTAAATGTTATCGAATGTGTTTGATAGTTTACCCAATATAACTAGGACTTCGGGAACAATTAAAGTGGTGCATGCATGAGGGATAGGTAAGACGTTTTACAGCTTCTGAAGGATAGGAACAGACATAGAGAGTAAAAGTTTGTACATTTTATCATTAAAACTAATAGATCTGAAAGGCTACTTCATACGACTGGATTTTAGGACTGCGATGGAAAACGACTAAGTAGTCTACACTTGAGTATAAAGGGCTTTGTTGTCTGTTGCTGATTATTCTTAACACATTGCTTTTCTTGAATCAAGGTCAAGTAACACAATATAGACAACCAATGCGTAAAAAAATTTGAATATTATTATAACAGTTTACTGCAGACTACCATTTAAGTGAGAAATTATACAATAAACCAAACAATTATTACCGAAATGAAACCATGGTGATAAATCACTCAGGCAGTGTTTTGTTGGGTCGTTACGATCATCAGCGTACTTGTTCAGTCTTTCGTGTATAAACGTGTACAGAGTACCAAGACCGCCTTTCGTCCCTGGAGTTGCCCAATCAACAGGTTTAACAGATAAATCTCCTGAATATTCTGACATCCAATGATCCCAATCTATCAACTTTAGAAAAAGAATTTAAGTTTTTTATATCAATCAACTGTTAAGTATTCAGATTCAAAATAAGGCGTAATTCCTCATTTTTATTCGACAGTCTGTGAACACTACTTGATCACGGTGGTGTAGTCTTTACCACTTGATTTTCAGTCCATTACATATTTTTTACTTAATTTAACGCATCCTTGTAGTATCATCTTATTTCTTGGATATAAGTTTTTCTGTAAGTTGTTTCAAAGGGTAACTCCTTGGACTCATCAGTCATTGTATTAGACGTTGATCGATCTAGTGTCACTTGGTTAGTATACATTTTCCTTCCAACTGTAGTAAAACAAATTTCATAATTTGTAATTCTTATTGTTTACAATTTTTCTCTGAGCGGTGGCTATAAATGCAACTCTGCTCATTTACTTAAAAGTAATTTTCATGAGAAAACTATTACTAAATATTGGTAGGTCGGTCGATTTTCGACATAGAACTTTGCACATATTTGCGGCAGTTCAAGTCGCCACACTCCATGTAGCACACAAAGCAAGAGAAGAAAGTAGAAGAACTGCATAATATAGACAGTAAACAGAGGTGTGAGACAAAGGTATAGTAATAACGGAGAACAAAACAGTTTCATTGGAAATCATAAGTCACAAGGAGTGGATGCATCTGCGCCACTGAGAACGATTTTGAGCCATGTCACCAATTGTTTCCAACCATTGGTTTTTACCATCCCGAGGGCCCCAACCAGGAAGTCTACATCTTCCTACGTGGCTTAGATTAACTGTCGTGGATTTCATTGACTGGTGCCATGTTTTCGTTTGACCGCCGCTAGCTCTTTTCCAGCCTGGCCCTATATCAGCTAACATTGCCCGTCGAGGAAGGCGATGACTAGGCATACATACGTAACACATGTCCTAACCATCTCAGCCGATGTAATTTCACAGTCTCGTCGACTGATTTCCCCTCCTTACCTAGCACCCGACGCCTAACCTCAATATTGCTCACCTTATTATACCACTTCACGCGGGAGATAGAACGCAGACACCTATGATCGAAGACAGCTAATCTTTTCATGTCTTCTGCTCTCAATGGCCAGGTCTCACAGCCATAAAGGAGGACGGAGCGGACTGATGAGCAGTACACACGCCCTTTGGTCGGTAGTCGGTTATCGCGTCTACGCAAGAGACGGCGTGAACTGGCATATGCGAAACTAGCCCTCTGTATTCGTGCTGAGATTTCGTCGGAGATCAACCCGTTGGGGCTGATGGTACTTCCCAAGTAAGTGAAGCGGTCAACGTGCTCTACCACTTCACTTCCTATTTGTAATCTGGGAGTCGGTGTAGTCCAATCCTGCAACATTATCTTACATTTTACAGGGGCGAATCGCATGTCAAACATACGAAGGTTGTTGCTCAAGGTGTTCAGTAGACTCTGCATTTGGTCAGCGTCCTCGCCTAGAAGGACTATATCGTCCGCATATTCTAAGTCAATGAGATTATTCCCTGGTAGCAAGTCAATCCGTGAGTCGCTGAAGTGTGTTAGGGCTAAGTCCATTAGCACGTCTATGATGAAGTTGAATAGGAATGGGGATAATGGGCATCCTTGACGGACGCCACTAGTCGTCACCACTTCAGATGACAACTCGCCATAAGCCCTCACCTGGCTGCATGAGTTCGAGTAGAGTGCCTTAATCAGTGCTATGTATTTTCTCGGCATTCCCTTTACAGCCAAGCATCGCCAGAGAACCTCTCGGTCGACAGAATCGAATGCCGCCTTTAGGTCGAGAAATTTAATGATTGTCGGACGCCGGTAGGAATGCCTATGTTCTAGAATCTGTCGAAGGGTGAAGATATGATCAATACACCCTCTACCTGGCCTAAAACCTGTCTGGCTTTCTCGTGTTTGTGTCTCCCGAGCACCACTTAGTTTACGCAGTATTATTGAGCCTAGGATTTTAGATACTATATTAGTCAAGCTAATCCCTCTGTGATTATCACAAGAAGACTTGTCTCCCTTCTTGTATATCGGGATGATCAGTGACTTACACCAACCGGATGGGACTTCCTCTGATTCCCAGACGCTGCCTAGAACCTCAGTTAACACAGACAGTAAACTGTCTCCACCGTATTTAAATACCTCTGGAGTCAATCCATCAGGTCCCGCTGCTTTGCCTTGCTTCAGATTAGTGACAGCTTTAGTAACCTCAGTTAAGGACGGAGGACCTGAGTCTACATCCCACTCAGGGAGGTGTTGGATGTCCGGCAGGTTAAGTGTGGCTGTGGGTCAATTAAACTGCTCCTCATAGTCTTCTTTCCAGCGCTCCAGACGTCTGTCATGGGAGCTAATTATGGTGCCACTTTTCTCAGAGATAGCTGACAATATCCAACAAAATATAATAGTAAATGCCTATTAAACGTAAGAGAAATATTGTTATGTATCTTGCAGTCAGAGCTA